TATATATATATATATACATACATATAAAAATACACACACACACACACACACACATATATATATATATATATAGTTTATCAAAAGACACATTCTGACATTATGACAGACGTTACGGCAGACGTATTATATGCCATTGTTTGAAGATTAAATATGGGTGCATTTTTAGCAATAATATTATAAAAAAGCTTATTAAATTTTATAGCGATAAAACTGGTATTTGTATAAACATATCTGTGATTTTTTTTTAACTTTGCGCGTACACACGCGCATGCGACACACACACACACATTTTATGTTAAATTCATGTGAAATTGCATTTGTACTGGAAAAAATGTGTCTGAGGGAATGTATGTTAATTCTCTCTTTGGCGAGAAACGAATAAATACAACGACAGTTTTACAAACAGACAGCCTTTTGCTTTTTATTTGTTCATTATTTTACAAATTTATGCATTATATCACATGTTTTTTTATAATTAATGATTGCACAATATGTTTCTCTTAAGAAGAGTGAAATATGTTAAAAGAGTATACATATACGATAATTGATGTAAAATTGCTCAATTCGTCTGCTTTATGATATATATATATATATATATAAAATCTTAATCCACAATCTATCAACTTTTCATTTCCTTAGAAAGTATTTTTAATTTTTTTTTACACTACATTTTATGTAATAGATACGAAATTTACTTAACACACGTTTCCTGACTATTGGATTCGTATAATTGAGATTTTCCATAAATTTCTCATTATATGCGTAAAAAAAATTACTATAAATCAAAAGAGATGAAAAAAATTAAACAATTGCCATTTTTGTTTGATGGTCGTTGGTCATTGTCAATGGCTCAATTATATGAAGTCGGGATGGAGACTGGCTCAACTTCCAACGAGACTATTTCCGATACATGAACAGTAAATATATTAAATAACCAATTTGACACAACGACCGATATTCTCTTGAATACGAGATACATATATTTTTTAATATTTATTGTACCTAATTTACTTATATTCGTTGTGATGAAAGAATGAAAGTAAAAAATAATAATCGTGTGAAATAACAAATCATTATGTATTTTGCACCAATAGAACATAAAGCATGAGAAATATTTCATCACAGAGGAATAGATTAAGGAATGCAAATTAATTAAAGTAAATACGGTATTCACTTAATAGAAATATTCACTTAATAGAAAATAGAGCGTATTGCTCTCATATATGTGCGCGCGATTTCTATTCCTATTGCTACTTTTACAAAACGAGCATATAAAATAATTCAAAACAGCACAACAATCTCGACACTCGGACGACTCAAATTTGATTGCTAGATATTACTTAGGTGATTATTGTATTATAATTTAAATTCTCTATAATTCGTCCCTAGCTGAAAAAGATTGCAAGATGTTTCGTCTCTCTTCCATTGTACGCTTCTTTTGCTCAGACAACTTTCCTCTGTAAAGAAGCCCCTGTACCCGCGTTTCTTCCGTTTGTACAAATATATCTCCCCGTTCAAGGATTTTCTCCATAGTCTTGACATAAATTTTTGCTGCCTCTCGTTGCTCTTCCGGTAAAGTCTCCTCAAAGATTCTTACCTTCTTTAGTATTTCCTAAGAAAAAGAATAAACATATTTCATTGAGAGAATTTAATGATACAAGAATGTGAAGCTAAAACTATGGAATTATATTTTAATCTTTACTTAAATATTTTCAAATAAATATGCTTATGATACAGCCTCTTTGGCACAATTCAATGAAATATATTGTCTTGTTAATTTTTTTTTTAAACTTACCTGCCTGTCCTGCTCTCCCGCAGTTTTGAATTCTTCAGCTAATTTATCTAATCGTTCCACACATCCTGGCAATCCTAAGTATACTCTTGATTTAGATCTGATAAATCGCTTCAAGTATTCGCCCGTAAAATCAGATTCTCTCTCAGGAGTGAATCTAATTGGTTCAGATTTACCCTGTATAAATAGTAAAACTACCGGAAAGTCATCCTTCTTAATGTTGTAGCGTTGCGCTAGATCGGAATTATCCTTATTGCCAAAGTCTTTTACACCCACTGTAGCTATCAAGAGATCCTGTGAATCCTTGGTATCAGCCGCTATGGTGGCATATTGCTCGTGCTTACCACCATAAGGAAATGCTACATCGAATTTAACGAGCACTGCCTTAAATCTGGGAATAACCTGTATAAAATATTACAAAAATAAATTAACTAAAAACTTGTATACATCGTAACATATATCTAAATATCTTCATATATCTTATATCGAGATTGAATGTAGAATGACAGTTTCTCAATTCATTTTCATGTGCAATATAATCATAAAATATAAAAATATTATAAAAAGAAATATCAAACCCAATTTAGTTTTCATAATACACACACACACACACACACACACATATACACACATATACACACACAAGATGCCAAATTATATATATGTTGCAAAGTTATTTAATTATATAAAATAAAGTTTTCAACAATTTTTATCATTAATTTTAATCATTAATTCGTTCAAGATAGGTAATGAGAACAAATAAAATTAGAAAAAAATTAAACAAGACTCAAAAGATTATATAAATAAAAATTGGATAAAGAAAGGCAAATTAAGCTGGATGACAATGCTCGTTTTAATACTAGAAAACAAAATATAAATATCGCAATGTTTTGACCTATACAACAGTCATAAAAGATTTATACCGTTGTACTATAGATGAAGTCTTGTTGTGTTATAAATCGAAATGTTTGCGATGTTTATTTTATTTTATTTTTAAATGAGCATTATCATCCAACTCAGCTCATTAAGCTTTTCTTTATCCAGTTTAGATAAAAAAATTTTCCTAATTAAATCTCACATAACACACGCACATACACATAAATACAATATATGCACGCGTGCACACGTATACACACATTTGTATAAAAGAGGAAATTTCACAGATGTATTAATATATATTTTGTTTGTTATAAATTGAGAATTCTGAGAATTTTGGTTACATACTATTTCACATTGGAATTCTAGATAAAATTAAAAGCTTTTCATACCTTATCGAACGAATACGAATCCAAAGGCACACATCCTCTGCAGTCATCACCAACAATAATGTGCGAAATAGCGATGACAAAAATTAATACGAGACTCGATCGAATCATGATAGGACGTAATGTTTGTATAATTATTCGAGTTTCATCCGCATGCACGAATGAAGCAATTAACTACTCCGTTCTTTTTTTTTTGCGTTCTATGAAATCAGACAACAATTATCCTATCTCCCTCATATACATACAGTTCCACTCGCAAAATGCGCGTGTGTAACACAACACGTGACGTACAGCAACGTGTCAGTTCAACGAACCGGCTTCGTTCTGAATCCAAGTTATCAAGTCTAATTGATTTGTGAAACAAATGCTCACCGAGCTTGTCCGAAAATCAGAGTGGCAAAACTTATACAATGCTTTAAAATCCTTATATATACATATATTTTTTTTCATCACACGCGGTCAATCTTGTCTATTCCAAGATGTACCCGACAAAGTTCTCCCCTACATTAAATTGTTTTCTCTAAACTGTAAAAGTGAAAAGTCTTAAATTAGAAGATCTCCTTTCTTTTCAGTTCTCGCACTTGCCGCACTTGTCACATGGAAGCAAAGAACTAGGCCAATCGGAGGAGTATTCGGAGTATTCCTGTCCGGATATTCTTCGAGTGTCTTATCATTCTTTGTTTTTTCAACGTTCGATAAATAACAAGGATGGAATGATATTCGGATGGGAATCGGAATATCATTCAACTTAGAATGGTGCGACACAATAGACGAAATAAGAAATAACAATTCCAACCTATCAGAAACCGTACATTCCGTATTCGATATCTAATAGGTTGAAATCTTTATTCCTTATTTCTCTTCTATCGTGATTGCACTTTAAAACTGGATTTTTACTTGATACTCGTTTTCAACGTCAAAATAGGTCACGTGATCAAAATTGATGCTTGATATTTGTCAATTTTGATCACTCGATTTGAACGCTGAAAATGAGCGTTGTAGCGTCAGGTGAAAATCCAGCCTAAGACTGCAACATTTATTCGCTCAGGTGTTTAGAATATAGCCACACAACTTGCATAGCTGTATAAACGTAATGCGCAAAGAAAATTATCCAATCACATTTCTCCTATAAAGACTCACGTAAAATGTGATTGGATAATTTTTCTTATGCATACGTTTAGACGACTATGCAAGTTTGTGTAGATGTAAGTGGAGAACACAGACTCTTGCATAACGTATAAAATACTCTGTGTTCCTAGTCTACCCTTACAGTATTTGTGATCATCAATCGTTCTTCTTTAATATTTATAATTACACCAAGATGACGCTTAAAAAGTTGTAAGCGTCAAAGCGAACATAGCCTAAAAGTGGAAAGAATATATTATGCGTTAATATTTGAATATGAATATTTGAATTTGGACGATTGGCGCCTTGGAATTTGTTTTGACACGGAAGGGCGAGCGAGCGCGTCATGTTTGCGCTAAAGTTCTAGATATCAAAGTAGCGCATTCCTTTTACTTGAACTGAAATGCCGACAGACTTCCTATTGGCTATTTCGATCGCCATTTCGATTTAGTTGCCTGTAATCTAATAAGCGCTTAATATTATTGGTATAGGGTATGATTAGTAGGTCCAAAATGAAGGACCTATACGCAACTTTGGTATCTAGAGCGGTATCTTTATGTGGGATTTATAATAAAAGTCGTAACGATCTTAAGTCGTAAAAAATTGACTAATCACAGTTGAATATGAGAAAAATAATCAACTATGATTGGTCAATTTTTTACGACTTAAAACCCTACGACCTCTACGACTTCTATTATAAACCCTGCATTAGTTTACGCGCCGTCATTCCATTACCGAGATGTTAGCGAAGCTCGTAGGTAATCCGTGAAATGTGAAAAAGAGCGGCACGCGACATGGTTTGAACCTATCGAAATATCTGTCCACACGAGTCATAAAAAAGCAATGTTATAATATATGCTTAAATACTTTCATGCAAATATCGCATTTTCTGCTTTCACAATTAATATAGTTTATGTAATTATTAATTTAATTAATTTTTTCGTGCACTTTTCGTTATCCGTATAAAAAATTAAGCACGTAACTTTGAAACTATTTGTCGATAATAAAAGAAACATTTGATCTCTTTTTTATTAATCTCTAGTCCAGTCCATTAACTCTAATCACATCTTAGACATCGTCTAAGATTATAAAAAAAAAAAGATTTAGCCCTTTTATCTGCTCTGAATTTATTTCGCAACAGTGACGAATTGCAAACGTATGTTTGATATTCGTTTCTAAAAATAAACCGATAATTACATAATAATAGATAATAGTTATATGTTACATTTTTCAAATCATATCTTCCCTCGGGTACGACTTTGACGTAATGAGAAGGCTCAATACCTAAAGGATACACACGAAAAGAACGGTTTTCCTTGAGTATCTAAAAAATTTTTGAATCTATCTGAATAATACATCTAAGTAAATTTCTAGATATTTGAGTAAAATTGTTCTCTTCGTGTGAAAATTTAACGACGGGGAAGCTAACTTATCCTCGTCGCCGATTTAAATGAAAGTTTATGATCCGCAGCCGTTCGTCGCGTCGCGCATTTCTTTCAGGAGTATCATTCAAGTTGTCGGATTAATGGACATTTCACAAAACCCATTCAATGGTATTCTAATTATAATTAATTATTATAATTAATTCGCGATAGTGTATTATTCATGAGTGTTTTACGCGAGTGTCCTGTGAGAGGATGTTACCTACTTTGAGAAGAGGAGATTTGGGAGAGATATCGGGCACTGACGGAGCCATCTTGTAAATACAATTTTTTGCTAATGTGATATCAGTATTTTTCTTCTGTTTATTCTTTAATTGTTTTATTTTACAATGATTTAAAAATGGTAATTAGAAAAAGGATTATGTTTAAATTATGAAATTTAAATATTGAAATTTTATAAATATGTATTTAGGACCTTTTTTTAGAAAATGTATAATTATTTTTATAAATATTTAACTGGTTTTTAAAATATATGATTATTATATGATTATTCAAGAGATCTTTGCATTTAGTAAATATTTTTTTTTTAATATTGATTGATTTTTTCTGCTCTGTTTTATTAAGGATTTTATATTCATTTTGTTATAGAATTATCGTCGACGTAACTCCGTTGTTGCGCATCGGATTGATGAGTGAATTAATGTTTTTATCAGATTTATTGTGCGCCTTAAAAAAATAACGCGTTATCGTTATCGTTACTTTTTTTTACTAAAAAGTAACGATTCGTTACTTTTTTTTATAATTCTAAAGTCATTAGAACTTAAAATTATATTAACTGATAATTAATTTAATACTAAATGTAAAATGAATATTCAAACTTGAAATTCTCTACTAACTAGTTTGTATATAGAGCAAGCTTTTCTCTATATTAAATTTACCTACAGTTTTATTAATTCTTTATTTTACTTAGATAATATTATATAATTATTTTTTAATATTTATATACTC